GTTAGGGTTAGGGTTAGGGTTAGGGTTAGGGTTAGGGTTAGGGTTAGGTTTAGAGCGCACTTCTGTCGGTGCGCTGTTGTCGGCGTGCTTCTGTGCTCATTCGTCGGCGCGATTTCAAACTCACGCTTTTCTCCCTGTGGTTTTGTCGGCGCGCTTTTGTCAAGCGTGCATTTGTCAGTGAACCCCTATACCAGGGGTGTCAAACTTACATCATCATGGCAGCATCAGGTGATATACAGGACTTTCCCCCCTTTGCTAAACCGGGCACGGGTGTGGCCAGCTTTTGACACATCCAGCCCGCTGGCCAATAATTTGACAACTCTGTTCTATATGCATGATGATGTAACTTCTTGGACTTTCTCCCTGTGACTAGGAACTCTAATTGGCTCAAGATTTCCATGTATTTGGACATATGCTTCAGGAATCATGCATATATCCATCTTATTAGTGCCAAATGAGTAGAGAGAATTTATTCTACTAGTTACAATTACTTGTCATAATCTGAATGTCAAGCTTGCAGTTAGTAATACAGGCCCACTGAAATAGTTGCTCAGTGGCAATTTGATGCTCAGTGCTAATGCCTTTTGCTTATTTTCAACTACTAGTTGTTACACAACTGCCCACGTCTGGCACTGCAGGCACAATGGTCTGTTCAAACACCACAAGGCCTTCAGCATAACAAAAACCTCTGCTAGGGGACCTGCATGATGATGCCTTGGGTTCTCAAACTGACATGATGAGGTTGATTTCTCATGGCAGGATGTCAATCATAAATTATATTCCCTTTGTAAGGTAGTCAAGGGATGCTTGATAAGTAGCCTAATGACAAGAACAGACTTATGCCAGTCATAGATTTTTTTCTTCTCTGTCTTGGTAACAAGAGCATGGGGAACAATGGCACACGGTTAACACATGCCCAGGATTAGAAATTTGCAAAATATTTATATCACCACAACTCTTTTCACCATGAATCAACAGAAGATCCATAGAGTGTGACTTTTTTTCTGGTCTGGGGGCAAGTATTTACCCAGCTTCACAAATACTAAGAATGTAGGGTTTTTATCATTTTAGACAAAGGAGTAGGAAATGAGGCATTTCAACTATGCCTTACACTCAGCAAATAGACCAATTTCAAATCATATTCCTATATTAAATAATCAATAAGTTATGCTTGTCTATGAGTAAGCTGAAAATGATGTATCTCTATTTCATCCTTGCAAAAATGCCAATTATCAGTATGTAAATTTTTTCCAGACAATATGCTTACTGCAATGCTAGCAATTCAAACCACTATAGGGTCCTAAGTACTTCTCTTTGGATCTTGTGCTATCAAATAAACATCTTTTGAAAGACTGCTTTTTATTCCACCTAGATTTCCCTCAATATGATCACCATACTACATACTACTACTTCCCTCCCAAGTCCCACCAGGCGAGAAGGTTACACAGTATACATCTAGGACAGGAGAAGGAGGCGGTCTGGGTTTGAATTGCTAGCATTGCAGTAAGCATATTGTCTGGAAAAAATTTACATACTGATAATAATTGGCATTTTTGCAAGGATGAAATAGAGATACATCATTTTCAGCTTACTCATAGACAAGCATAACTTATTGATTATTTAAT